AGAGAGAGAGAGAGAGAGAGAGGAGAGAGAGAGAGAGAGAGAGAGAGCGAAGCAGCACTTAGATTGAAATGAGTTTTCTAATCAAGAGATCTGATAACTTATTTTAAAATGAATTCGGATATTTATGAATAAATTTAGTGTCTTTCCAGTCGCCAATGCCCTTCGCCATGGTCAGGACCGCTGCCAGGGGGGGGGGCATCCGGGCCACTGTAGCAAATACCTTTACAATTATGTCTCGCGAGTGTGTGTGAAGGAGGAGCCACTGCCACCACCCATTTAGTGAACGAAGGGAACGCGAGTGTACATGCGAGAAGAATGATAGCGCAGAAGACGGATGTGGGGGGAAAGGAGCGAAAGAGAGTGAATGTGGATGCGTGTGTAGTGGCTGTATGGCGCGAGATCACAAAGGTTAGGAAGCGTGATGGTGAGCCGAGGAGAGGCGCGTGCGGGCAGATGATGATCTAAAGAACCTATATTAAAATAATTGTGTAAAAAGAACCATTGTTTAAAACACTTAAATACTTAATATAGAACACGTGAATAAGAAATTAAGAAAAAAGTAAAATAATTAAAATTATTAAGATTTAATACTTATTCGTAAAAATCAAATGGACCTCTTGATCTTTAAAAGAATATATATATATATATATATATATATATATATATATATATATATCTATAAAAAAAACGTAAAAATGAAAGAGTAACATCTTCGAGGGGTAAACATGACAAAACAATAAAAAACAACAAAAGAAAATAAAATATTTGGCAGCAGAATGGCAAGCGTGGCGGGTGCGCGAGCATCCTCCTCACTCCTGGAGATAAACGCCCTTTCTTGAGGCGTGGGGTTGATTTCCGAGGTCGGAGAAGGCGTCACGTGATAAAGTTGATGCCATTGAGCAAAGGGCGACGTTATAAAGGCAAGCCCACAACCCCCTTGGAAATGGCAGGGCAAAACAGCGCCACATCGCGGGTCGCACCAGGTATGGGTGTTGCCACCTTGAGGTCATTGTTTTCTTTTCTGTTTGCCTGTGGGAGAGTCGCTTATTTGAGCCAGAGAACAACTGGTTTTAGCGATGTAATAAATGCCTTCGCAATTGAAAAGGCTCGCAAAGTAATGCTGTAGATGACTTAAAACACCATCGGTGAATCTTGAAACAAGAGCCAAAACTTTGCTATTATCGATAAAATAAAAATAAGGAAGTGATTCAAAAGATGTTCTCAATCTGCCAAACTAGCGATATTTTAGAAGTTATGTGATATCAGTAACATATTCTTGATTGTAAGTTCTTCATTGTAAGTTCGAGTAACTTGCTAGTGTGTGTGTATGTATATACATATATAAACACACACGCACTCACCCAAATGTATACACACACATCTATGTATATATATGTATATATATTTATTAAACCATGGCTATATTCATGTGTGCGTCTATGTGTGTACGTGTTTGTTTGTTTATGTGTGTAATTGTGTCCATGAGTTTCTAGACGAATAGAGATTTATGAACACACAAAAACACGCACAAACACAGACACACACAAACACAAATCTCTCTCTCTCTCTTCTCTCTCTCTCTCTCTCTCTCTCTCTCTCTCTCTCTCTCTTCTCTCTCTCTCTACTCTCTTCTCTCTCTCTCTCCTCTCTCTCTCGTCGTCTATATATAATATATAA